TAGAGGATTTGGTCAGGACGTTTGCAAGAAGAATACTAATAATAGTTTGCTGTGATAAGCCAGATTCCACGTGCAATGCCAGTCTAGCTTCGCTGTTGACAAGAACTCGGGGGAGAGAAACGTATTGCCTGATTCATCACAAATTTGCTTGAGTCGGCAAGAAAACTATGACTGCAGGGGCAGTCACGCCATTACTAAGTTGACACAACGATGCTGTGGTGTTCACGCTACTTAACAGACATGAGCTGGAGACGCGACAACAGCCACATGACTGCAGACATAACATTTGCACTCAGGGAGATACGGCAGCGGCAACGCATTCATTCACGAACCACTTATTGTACATGTGAACACATCGTACGTAGAGAGAAGTGAAACTTGCACTCAAATGTTGTCACAACGAAGAACTCATTATGCTCTTCATTAAATTGCATTAACTTGGCAATTAGTCTATTAATAGCAGGTTGTAACACCACACACATAAAATATAATGTATGGTCGTGGAACAAAACGCAAGACAGAATTAATTACCTCAACGTACTAAGCTTTCGCTGACGATGAAAATACGAGACGTAGGAAGGGATACCAAATGAAATAAATGGGAAGGTGTTTGTTACAACTGGTGCCTTCTTGGCAATGGTTAGCCATGAACGGAACTGTACATATTTATATATATACCATACACCGCGGTTCTCACGGAGCTCACTTGGTAACAAAATCTGCAGAGAAAAAATAATTTACAAATATAAAGATTGAATCATACCAAGGAAACCGTGCCCAACAAGGAAATATTGATCTAAATTCAGGTGATTGTTGCACAAATATAATTTATATACTAAACTTTGAAACGTCGTTAATAAAGAAAAACTACTTCCTGAAACTTGCCTTTTTATCTACCGTCATCTGAAGAAAAGTTCCACTCCCTGATAATATAAACCAACGAATTCTCTGGTCATCAATCGCACGTGTGTAAACAAGTAAATCCTGCCATCTAATAATAAATATAATTCACTGCATGCATCACCACTTTTCAATTAATAGCCGACGCAAACCCAAAAATTTAAGCAAGGACGGCCGACATGTTGCAGTGCAAGACCTCGTTGACCTGAAGCTGTCACCTCATCAGTAGCATGCGAGAGATTTCAAAAAATTATGTAGCGAAACTAAACGAAAATCGGGTTATTAAAAAATATAATAACTGTCCAAGTAGATGATTAATGCCGCAACTACTGAAGAGATTCGACAGTAGCGATGCTTGGGGGCGCCTGATTGCATGCCTAAACGTTTACACACACACACACACACACACACAATAATAAATAACATCTTTTACTGAAAGGCTGATAGCTTGACGAACAATTACCTGCTTTATGTTTGAGTCAGCTCAAAAAAGAACGCGTTCCAGGAATTATGTTCGCAGAAGCCTGACCTGAAATTGGTCATTATTACCGACGATTGCTCTCAGTAGCTCGAATACCACATGGTGTCCGTCACCCAACCCAACCAAAGAAGAATAAGAGAATTTCGCATTCTTTTCTCTTGTGGACTGCATACTACCTAGAGAGAGACGGAGCTTGGAGAGCTGGCAAGGTGTGCCAAATAGTTTCAGGCCGCTATCCAGCTGTTATTCTGCTGCAGGTTTTTGCAGGAAAAGCGCAGATGAATTTCTCTAGGAGAACAAGCGCTGCACGAGAACTGGTTGATATCAGCGGCCGGCACTGTGAAGCTCGCCATGTAAACAATGCAAGCGTAACATGGAACTGGTTCCATGAAGAAAATTATTTGGCAAGAAGAGGCCAGTGCCTGTCAATGTAATAAATAGCAAACAACACAAACGTAAATGACATTTTATATGAAATAAAAAGTTATGAACCTCATACATGCTTTTGATCTGCAGTTGCAGTTCAGGCTTCAAATTGATTCGTTTAATTAGAATACAACTAGTTTTAAAAACTTACATTAATGACAAATAATGCCAAATTCCATCAAGACACAAATTTTTCAGTACAAAGTAACAAATATTTTCTTTGCAATGACTAGGAAAAAAGACACCCAAGGATGTTCAAGAAAACGCTAACCTAATTCGTGCTAAAGTTAGCACACTGCAGTGACGATGCAGCGCCTGAAGGAAAACGATAACCTCAGGCTTGTACTGCACTGTACACTTATTGGTTTAAAAAGAAATGATAAGTGACATTACTCAGGAAAATGATAACCCCATTGGTGCTAATGCTAGCACACTGCAGTGACGATGCAGCGCCTGAAGGAAGTCGAGAAGCTACGTGCATAGAAGACGGACTCGACGATAGAATTATCACGCAATACTCTGAGGAGGTGGGATACTTGAGACGGAAGTATTTAGTTACGCCAGCCTTGCAGCTTGTATATGTATATGCACGTGCAAACCAGTAACGGATATTTTTCTCTATATAATTATATGCACTTCAATAACCTCAACGTGAACTTCCAAAACGCCCCAAGCTGAACTCAGGAAACTAATAATTTTGATAATCTTGAACGAACCCTGTGCACTCAAGCCTAGAAAATAACGTGATAAAAAAGCAGTAATTTTGGGTAACAAGATGATATTCTTAGGCCCTTTGTCTACGAGGATAAGAACAGTCGTCAATGCACTGCCCCCAGCTTCGTTTCATGCGCAAAATACGAAGCCTAACACGTTAGGCTCGTACTAAGAGTACTGCAAAAAGTTACAACCACAGAAGAAAATTATCAAAAGAATTAAACAAATGACGCTGAAATTTCAGCCCGGACTGGGAGCCGTGAAATATATTCAACGCAAATTAATTTACTCGCGAATTTTCACTCGCTCTGCGCGTAACACCAGTGCTAAAAAATTAGGAACTTGCCACAGGCGAGATAATATATGAAGAGAACAACAGGCGGGGACATGAGTGAGTGACCATCATAAACAAAAGATTCTGCCGCCTTGAAAGAGGTAAAGGAGCACTTGAAAAAATAAAGTTCTGAAGGAAAAAGGAAGCACTTTAGTAGATAAAAAATAAAAAATGGTGAAATAGACAAAAGCCAAAACGAGACAAAAAGATGCAGAAACCGTCAAAATATAGAGACGTGTTTTTCTAATGGGGATAGGTGTGTGATGTCAAAATATGAAAAAATCAGGAAACTAATAGGTAATAATAAAGTACCAAAACCGTACGAATCGGCCAAGCCAAAAAGTGGAGAAGAGGGTACGCCAAAACGAGAAAAATATTATGCAGAAAGCATGTAAATAACAAATTCCGAAACCGGAAGGAGAGATGCTCAATTGAGCACGCGATGTGACAACGAGGCGGAAATAGGAGGACGTGCCGGAACAAGGATAATTCAACGCTAAAAAGTTTAAGGGAAGAAAATGCAAGAACAGGAAGATCAGACGACAGAACCGAAATAAGAAGAAATCCTGAAGTAAGAAAACTAAAAAAAATGTTAAACTGGGACCGACATGAAAATATCGGTGAATTTACATAACGGAAAAAACGTCCTGTAAAAAAACGGATGAAATAAGGTCCAAACTAGTAAAAATTTAAATTAAAAGAAACGAAGATAAACGATGGTAACGATGATGTCAAAACGGGGGAAGAAACGCGTTAAGAGGGAAGAAAATGACGAGGAAGATGAGAAATGCCACCGCGCTCGAGGAGAGGCTGAGCTATAGGCCCTCACGTGTACAGCATAGCAACATGGCGGTGATGCAGCATAGCAACATGGTGGTGATGCAGCATAGCAACATGGTGGTGATGCAGCATAGCAACATGACGGTGATGCAGCATAGCAACATGGCGGTGATGCAGCATAGCAACATGGCGGTGATGCAGCATAGCAACATGACGGTGATGCAGCATAGCAACATGGCGGTGATGCAGCATAGCAACATGACGGTGATGCAGCATAGCAACATGGCGGTGATGCAGCATAGCAACATGACNTGCAGCAACACGAGTAACAGTGCAGCAACAGTCGCGTAGCATTGCAGCAACAGTCGGGTAGCATTGCAGTAACATGAGTAGCATTGCAGCAACAGTCGCGTAGCATTGCAGCAACAGTCGCGTAGCATTGCAGCAACAGTCGCGTAGCATTGCAGCAACAGTCGCGTAGCATGGTAACATGACTAGGTTTACATCAAAATTTCGTAGGCGACACTGTGAAGAAATATACAACAAGAGGGAGTGAGTATGACACTTTCATTAGCTTTGCTCAATGTCGACCAGATTAAAAACTCCAACTCAACCGGTAAAGTCGTTCTTTATAATTCTGCTCTGTTCGCTTCTACGTAGCCCTAATACTTTTGTTTAACGGAACGATATTATCCGTTGAGCGCAGAAAGATTGTTCGAACTTCGAATGGAATGAACTTTACGATGCAATCACAATTGAGATGCCACATGGTGATGAGATAGAGAAAATTGAGATGCCACAAAAATGAATTCCTGGCGAAATTTCTTAGTTATCATATCCATATACCTAGATTATTGCTGCTTACTCATAAAATATTAATTTCGTTTTCAAAAAATTTTCTAGCAGGGGTTCAGTCGTGTTTGAGTGGTGAGAATAAGTTAATCTATTAAACAGGTTCACTTCACAGCTGGGACTATCAGTATCAGAAAAATATCGTGTAGTACGGTAGCGATTTCCTGACGAGATGATCTTTTGGTTAAGTCATCATACTTTGAAAATTGCCAAAGGTAAGTTAGCGAATAATATAGACATGAGTATTTTGCATGCATAAAGATTTGTTGAAACGGAAAGTCAATTTAAACTAACGCCATTACATTAGGCATTAGTCTTACTAGAACTAGATTTAAGCTCGTTTCGCAACTAAGGCAGACAGCGAGATGATAATTTTCGAGAAAAATTAGAATAATTTAGTTAACAGTCGAGGAACAGATAATGGAGTCCAAAAATTGGAAACCTCATGGTTATTTGTTTCAGACAATGAAATAACTACAGATAAGGTCACTCAATAAGTAAAAAAGTACTTACCTAAGACTAAGTAGAGATACGGCAAGGTCCACTCCGGTAAGCAGGCTGCATACTTCAAAAACTACGGGCGAGGAACTTAACTTCTCGGCAGTAGGGACTGAATAGATCACAAGTAGGATGTTTGATTAGAGTAAACGAATTGTCTGCATTTATAATCAACCGCTCGTATTATTAGTGGATTGAATACTTCGCATAGGTTCGTTTTGCAGAGCCCTGTGTTGCAACACTCCCACGATTAGGTACTAATTTAGTAGGTAGCTAGCAACTACCTATAGCCTAGGGTAGGTAGCCTACGAAAGGTTGCAAGCACAACGTGTACGACCCACAAATAAACTGTAACAAACAGTAGCACAGCTATAATAAATCACAGAGTAGATAGCAAACACGTGACACTCTAGGATTTATCGAATAGGTATTTTAAAGTCTAACTAGAGCAGATATCAGCTACGTCTTGAAGCGGTTTGAAGATGCACACCCTCACTTCTCCACTGCCACAGCGGCACTGATTCTCCATCTGAGTCTGACTCAATTGCGACAGTACGACGGGTGTTCGTTCGCGCCACGCCAGTGCCAGAAGCAAGAAAACTGAGAAGTGATAAGCAAAATGTACTCAACATGTATATCCAATGTAGGATAATTGTCTATTTTTTTTTATTAAATACCTATCCCAAGATTTTGCACCAGGATTCTCAAATTTGAAAACATTGAATAAATGCCTTATAGTTATACTGAGTCATCATCTGAAATATTATGCACAGTAAAGTGGCTAGCAACCAAGTAATGTGCATTTTTGTGAAGCAAATAAGTGTCACATACGAAGAACCTCGGCTTGTGTTTTTCATAAAACCGAAAAAGCCCTCGAAATGTATTTTCGTTACACTTGAGAGCCGAGAACGCTTATTGCGTAGTAGCAGTAATAAGTCTGTCCCATTCATTCCACGTGCTAAACTCTCCGGATTATTCAACTTCGTTTTTCAAGAGATATTCGCACACGTGTGTTTTTTGGTGAGCAGCTTCTATCCTCTGAGTACATAAAGTCATCGTATGAGCAACTTAGTTGTGCATCGGATTACTTTCTAACATAATTCTTTTTGTATTGCGTTGGAAAGTTTTCCGAAACCGGCTTGTCTGGCACCATGTATCCATGTACCCACTCAACTCCACCACCACCAACACCACCACCATGAGTGGGTCGTATCTCCTTCTGCAATTGATGATATTTGGCTAGCTTATTATAATTAGTTTGGATGACCTTATCATTAATGCTAGTACATAAAATATCAGAGTTTGCATCAGAGGTATTTTTGACATGAAGACACGATCTTGTCCAGGTTAAATAAAGAGCTATAATAAATGAGGCTCTAGCGAGGGGGGGTGCAAACGACCCCTTCTGGCCCCTCTCAAACCGCCTCCCACTCATCGACCTTGGCTAGGGTGAACCAGTACGTTGCCGCAGCTGGCGTGGTTGCTGCAGATGCCGGCCAATGTGCAGCTTTAGATGTTTTGCGTAGTTGCCAATTCGAGATATTTCCCTGGAGAATTTGTTCGAATATAGATATATCTCAAAGTTCATCCATAGGAAGCAAGGAATCTTCATAATATAACCACTAAGATAATATAGGCACACTTTCCTCACTTCAAACATTGCTAATACCTTGCACGTAATGTTTAAACCTCTGAAGAAAACCTGCACGGGGCTAATTTTAAGCAAACATTACCGGACAGTACGTTGCCTCAGGGCTGTGAAGAACAATGAATTACCGGAATGCAAGCGGTAACAAAATGCCTTCAAATTCTTATGATGGTCGTAAATGTTTTTTTGAATGCTCGCAATTGCGTTGTTAGGCGCAATTCCAAGTTTATACAGGTCAATTCGCTGTTAAGATAACGTGCGTAGTTGTTTTACTAGCATTTCTCTATGCAGAAGTATTGAACCCAACTATTATGGTATACGAGTCACCATATCACTGATGTCCCCAGTTTCCAAAATTAAGGAGCTAATTAAGAAACTTAATTGAATCAAAACTATCAACTAAAATCTAAATCTTAACAGTTTTACAATTATTTTCAAGTGATAATCGAGAACTTTGCAGCGTATTCGGCTCGGAGCATTTTAAGATGCTTTCAGGCATTTTCGAAGCTGTCATAGATGTTTCGAATTATGAGATTAGGACAGCTGCATGTTTCCGATAAGTTGGGAGATCAGGATTTAATGAAAGTGAATGACAGTATCAAATAATGCCAGAGAATAGGGTTCTCCTTGACTGAAGTCTAACTGCACGCATCCACTTGTAATATCGAGTGCAGATGACGGCCAGAGGTATTTTTTTCTTTTTTTTTATTGAGGGATGATGACACGCGTCTCGCGACCGCCATAGCACCAGTTTTGTGTAAAGAAACAAAAGCTCCTGCCTTCAAGCATGAATGTCAGAGAAAATCAACTGGAACGGACTCCGTTGAACGAGTGATTGCTGAAATAATTTACTGCATACCTGTAAATAGCATTTGCATAAAATCTGAGAACATTCTGATTGTCACTGAATTATTATGATTGCCTTAAAGTCAGTGAATGTCGTGATTCCTGTATATGTACTTTGAAAAGTGCGTTTGAATTGAAATGTGCGAAATGTCAATCTGTGTGGATCTTTACGAAAGGACACAATAGAGTTGGGACAATCATCCTTAATAATGAGGTGTGGTTCTCCTAAATATAGTAGTCAATCAGTTCTCACAGAAATGCGACGTGAAATTGACGAGGAATGTGCGGTGGAGAAGATGTACGGATACGAATGAATTCATCCTATTTCACGTCAGAAATTTGACCTTTGTAGCTATTGAATTTTGTTTTTATTGCCGTCGATGTGACGGAATTGAAAACCTGCACAGTATCGTGCAAGATAGAATTATCATGTCGGTTGAATTAATCGCTGTGTTAACAAAAATATGTTACCACAGCAAAATGATAGAAAGTTCTACTACTCGCGTCTGTCATCTGTATTCTCGATAACTCTGACACACGCGCTCCTTTCATAAAGTATTGTATCAGCTAATTCGATACGTGCTAACCTTATACGAGCCCTAACTTACGTCTCATTACTACATTGGTTCATTTTAGTGGTAATGTAATTTTACCGTTTAACTTTGAGAAGCATCGAGGCTGTTTATCGGCCTTATTAAATACGTCGTTCGCTTTTCAGTAATTATCATAAATAATCTATTTTGCGTGAAATTTATTTAGACGTGCAAAAGCTAGGCGTGGCTGTTTTTTTTAAACGATTGCTTCCGTTACGCTCTTCCAAAACAATAGCTAGTAATTATTTCCAATGCTTTTAACTATCTATAAATTGAATTTCCATGCGGGTTTTTAAGTTATAAAGGAAAACAGTATTGAGTGGTTTCGACTTCATCATTTTTTAAAAAGACATAAGCTAGCTTTTGATCTTTTATATCTTCGAATTGTATTGGCAGCATCAACAATAAACTCCTACTAGAAAAAGGAGACATTGTAGCCCAATGCATTTGTGATGGTTGGTGCAAAAATTTTCGCAGGCTTATGTATTTTACTGAGTCTCTGGACTGGACGCGGCGTCAAGAAGTGAGCAGTTCCGCTTTAAATATCAAACAACACAATCAAAGAAATTTCAGCGTTTGAAAAATGTACCTTTTTCATTATAGCGCCGCAATTGAGGTTGACTTTAAATTAAAAGATTTCAGTTTCAAATACCGCTACAGTGATTCAAATTACCGTTTTTTTAATTTACTTGATACCAATTGAAATTGAATTACGTATCAAGATTACAATGCAGTATTTCAAGAACAATTTTTTTAAAGTATTCCTCGAAATTGTCAAGTTAGAGCGATAACGGTCCAGATGCTCCGGGACGAACTTGTGTCTCACTTTTTAAACGACCTACCCACTCAGCATAACGCGAAAGGTCACGGACCCTAAAAATTGACTTTAATTTCGGTATCATGGCGCTGCTTCCTTATCTAATACTCTGCTTACTTTGTTATCTTATCACGAACTGAAAGTTTATCGCTTAATTTATCGACTCATTTCCGTAATTCATTATCAATTTTATGAAATTCCTTCGTTTAGTCAAACTTTTATCAGGAACTCCAGTTCATTTAAGCGATAAATTAGGAACCAATATTTCCTTAGAATGGGTCTTTGATGTTGTTATTGTTATATTTTAAATATGCTCGTTCGTTTCCTAACTATCTTTCTTGTTAAGTATAAAAGTTTTGGTGTATAAATACAACAACAATACAACAAAATCGTATAATTGAATATATACTGTGTTTTTGCATCTTTTCACCTTATGCTGAATAACACTGAATGCCATCATGGAATGTGAAACATTGATAGTTTAAATAAAAATGAATCGAATGAATCACCGTTAACAACGTAAAGCCCGCCTCGCAAATGCAGACAGCCACGAAAAATTCATTTCTGAAAGCAAAGTACATTACAATCTGAGTCAATTGATTCTCTTTACCGAAAACACAATTTGAATGTTATTATTATTGTGAAAGTAGAAGTTACTACTTGTGAAATTATTCTAACACGAATTTCGGTCTCAGCAAAATAGTAATTGTCCTCAAAATATAAAATTAATAGGAATTGAAATTGTTAATGGCCAATTAAAGATTCCACGCCATCGTCATGACTTCATTCCACGTGCCATAGTAAATTAAATGTCATGAATTCTGGAGACAGGGGCCGCCGCACTTCATGGTCAAGGTCAGTAAAGCGGCTGGGTCGTTGCCAGGTGCTCGGGGCTGATGTCCATCGATCAAAGGAGAACTACAGTGTACTGTGTACATTATTATTATTAATATTATTATCATTCTACGGAGCAGTTATCGTGGCGTCTGGTACAAACGAGCTTCGAGGGAACGTTACACATAAGTTTAATAGCAAGTAAAAAAATAAATAGACACGAAAGAGGATGAGAACGGATAAAAATTACTAAGCACTTGATTCATGGGCTCTACGAAATAGTTCCGTCTTTAGGCGTCGATGAAACACCTGTAACGAAGGAACCGATTTTACGGAAGCCGGCAGACTGTTCCAGGTTCTGTCGGCGGCAACCGGTATTGGTAACGCTCTGTCGCCGACAGTAGATAGACGTGTAAACGTAACGACGAGGTCCGCTGTTGATGACGAACGCAGTCGTCTTCTAGGAGGCTGATCCGACACGCACTGAAGACATTCCCCTTGAGATAAGGAGGCGCCAGACCGTGAAGGCATCAGAACGTCAGAACAGCGACCTTGAACTGCGCACGCTGCTGCATTCGCAGCCAGTGAAGACCGCACAATATGGGCGTAACGATCGCGCAATTTCGGCGTCCATTTTCGCTTATTTCGCACGATTCGCGCAGCAGCGTTCATTACGGATTACAGTTTATTAAGTGCCGTGGTCAGGAGTCCATCGAGTTTGGCATTATCATAGGTCAATTTGGTCAGAACGAGTGCCACCACGAGG